CGCTCTATTTTTAAATACGCAGAGGTATTTAAACGTAGTAGAGGACATGTACCTGTATATAAAACCCGCGCCCTATAGTCCGGTACGCCTTATGTGTGTGTTAAATACAGTAATAGCACACATAACTGAGACTGCGCCTTTTAGTACGGTGCGCTTTATGGTCATGAAAATACGGTACTGTCCAAAAAAAGATTTGCGAATTTTTGCCTCATGAGACAAAAACAGCTTCGAGAAGTAGTTCAGCTTGACCAGAACTTCAACAGGCATTTAAACAGCCTCAGTATTCAGTCAAGATGTGGGAGTTTACAGGAGAGTTGCTGTCAGTTGGATAGAGTTTGGATATATTCTAAGCTTAGAATGCTTGGAAAAACAACCAATCTAGTTGGTTCAAACTAGTTTGATTAAATTAAACAATGTAACGATCAAAACTGAGCAAGCTACTAGTTACAGATGTAAAATCAGTATTAAGTAGCATTGCTTTCTATGAAGCTGTCACCTTGCTAATGGAGTCAACAGTAAGACAAGTTGTTGGTTAAAAACCCACCTCGGACTTTTGAAAGTTGCAATAAAACACAATAAGTTTTGCCTAATGTGACTAATTGGTATTGGTTTGCCCCAATACAAAAATAGATTGGGTAAAAACACTGCCAAATTAGATTGGTTAGTTTAACCAAAAGATTGGTTGAACACATAACTTCCAACCCGATAAAAACCAAAAAATGCAGAAAAACTTCAGGGGAAGATTTTGGAATAAAAATGAATAACACCTTTCATTTTGCTCATCGTTGCCCAATTTGCACAAACTTTCACTGTCTGATTGAGCTTATTTCACTAAAATGGCAGAAAAACAGTGTACCTTAACTGACTGTTCTCTTCAAAGACATTTTACACTTAAAAAAGATTTTATTATACAGACCAATCAGTTAACAGTTTCAAACAAACTTAAATAGGAAAAAACAATTGCAAAATAAATCACAGATAATATTATTACCTGTAGTTCTGCACACCACCAGTAGGTGGTGACATATTCACATGAAGCTTCATGAACTGTGGGGATAGTTGAAGCAATTTGGCCAAATAGTTCAAATGTGTCATGAGGCTTCATCTCACCATCACTACTGCCCCCTTATGTACAAAGGGGGTAAAATGTATTTATTTAGGCGCATTTCAACTGATTAAATTAGAATCATGTACCTACTGATGCGGAAAGGTTACTTTTTATGTATTCATGGTAGAATTTAAATCCTAGAGTAAGCAGCCAGCTACCATTACCATGTGGGTATCACACTTTATGGCTGTTTGATATGTTTTCATGAAGAGAAAGGCAGATAAGAAGTCAGTAAACAATCAACTAGCTGTTTGGAGAAATTAGGTGGCTGTGTGGTTGCCCGATGAAAATGCTCCAAAAGTAAAACAAAATGGGTCAGAAAATTTTTTTATAATTTATCCTGGCCTAAGATCTGTCCAGCACGTGTCTGTTGTCTATGGGTAATGTGACATATTATGAGAAATTGAAGTTTGGGGATCGAATAAATGCAACATGGAAGCCTCTGAAAGCCTCAGAATCTGCACACAGACTGTGCTCACAGATTAAATTAGAGGAAGAGAAAAACACTCCATCACCTGGGATGTTGTTTGGATGTTGCCATGATGCTTATCCTCTAATTAGGATTGTAATATTTAAAATTTGGAATTGTTATTGTTGATGTTTTTTTCATGTCGCAATTATGACCCTGTAACCATGTTTTATTAGGTCAGCCGTCATATCTTATTCCCGTCTGTTTGTCTGTGGACGCCACATTTTATCATTTGCATTAAGAACAGACAATTATGGCATCACCTGCGGTATTCCACCTGTTAATCGTTTCTGATCTGTGTTTTGTTGATTTTTCAGGGACCACTGATCGTTTAGATAATCTTTTACATTTTAGAAAATTAGATTTTATTACTATTTCTATCTTTTTCCTTGTTTACTCTTACAACCGAGTGGGGTAAGCTTGATAAGAATTAATTAGAAAGTAGGTTCTGCAGCATAGCTGTTAATAGGTAAAATGATAACCAGATTTTTTTTCTACAGTTAAACCTCTCAATTGATTGTATATATAATAGTCAGCCTGGAGGCTCTCTTGTGCTTCTTTTAATACTTGAGCCCAGCAGGTTCTGCATTTGTTCCCCTAGCCCAAAACATCACATATATTACATCACAATATATTGACTGAATCATGAATCAAGATTTCACTCTTCCCCATATAATTCTTTTGTTGTTGTTTTGCTTTGTTTTTAGGACACACTTTAAATTTTAAATACATTTCTACCTCATCTGGAAGCGAGTTAGACTGTAAACAATTTATTTCCTTCGAGATTATATAAACGGTGCTTTTGAGAACAGCTTTTTATTTTAAACACATACAGGTTGGCAGAAAAAGTTAAAAAAAATACAGTTGATCATTTATAGCAGTTTATAGGCTTTTCATAGAGTTCTGAGTTTGAGCTTCACTCCGGGTCCCTGAGCAAAGACCCCTAACCCCACACTACTCCCTGGGCGCCGCACAATGGCAGCCTACCGCTCCCCAAGTGGATGGGTGAAATGCAGAGAAAATGTCATTGCTCTGTACTTGTGACAGTGTAATGACGGATAGATATCCACAGGGCCCCAATCCAGCACTAAAATGGTGGTATCGGTATCAGCGACTACCAACAAGTAGCTTTGATACCGTTTTGACAGCCAAAACTTTATTCAACTATTGTCACCCATTCCAGGCAGACAATAAAAAGTTCTACTGGATTCACTTTGTATTAGTCTTTTTCTTGCTTCAGAAAGGTAGGCAGCAGCTTGACAAAGCCATGATGGCAATTATTTTACATCCAAGTAGTCTGCAGTTCTTCATACATACACATACAGACATCAATTTCAAACAGATGGTATCGGCAAATACTGCACAGTCAGGATCGGGGCCAAAAAATGGCATCGGCGAAACACTTTATCTTTCTATCGATCGATAGATAGATATAGATAGAATTACAGATAAAAAGGTCACTAAATGTTCACCTTAAAAGGTGTATAAATACAACAGAATCAGTGGCAGAGTTCAAAATAAATAAAATACTGTACAATGTTTTTACAAATGTAAATGCTGTGCATCTGAAAAATAAATAATGAATACAGCTGTGGAAATTTATTACAGTATTTTAATGTTTTTACAGTATATTTATAAATAGAAGGAGATTTATCTATCTATCTATAGAGAGAGAGATGTGTGTATATATGTGTGTATACCTGTCTAAATATGTTTGTGGCTGTGCTTTGCAACATGCATCTGATCAGAATATTCTATTACTCTTTACCCCACTGAGAATATTTAAAGGCACTGAAACATTTATTTTCAGCAAATAAATAAAAGTGAAATTTAGTTCAACATTCAGCGAGTTAAAGTTGATTCGAACTGTTCCTGCTCAACACCACTGTCGACCGCCCCAAGATGGCGCCACCGAATCACGTCAGCGCCCATAGGCGAAAGCTGTCGATGCGCGTCTACCTTATGTCTATGGTTTGGACGCTCATGCTGCATCAACTCTTCTGTCTGCAGCTAGCAGCTCAGAACGCGTCTCGACAGAACATCTCCACCCTTTCAAGCCACAAATACATTGAGTGGTCAAACCAGGAATCCAGTTCAAACCAGACCATAACAAAACAAAAATGAAAATAGACCAACCGGAATCCTCGGAGCTGGAAGCAGCATCCAGTACTTCATGACTCTGCTCCTCTGCTGCATCCAGTCGCTGTTTGACCTGATGTCTCCACATCTCTGTTAGCTTATCTCTCTACAAACTTTCCTGTAACAGTAACTAAGCAGTTACAGATGATCTCCACACAGTTTCTCTTCTTTCCAGAGATCACCCACTGATGCACTTTTTATCTTACAGCTTTATTAACACCCCGGCTACTTCTAGGTAGAAACAAACCTGAGCAAACATGAAGGACGAGGCTCCGATTAGCTCTATAGAAAACACTCTTCGAACTGAGGAGTCTGCGCATTAGGACCGACATGCCAAAGGACCCGGAAGTCCCGCCCACACAGCAGCCATGTGTCGATGCTTATTGGCACTGGATATCTGCAGCAGGAATAGCATGGGGAGCAAGTAAACAATCATTGGTGCATATCTATTAGGCTTTAATGAGACCAACAATAGACTGTGGGTGTAAATAAATACAATTTGTGAAAATAGAAAGAGTAATTTATGTAATTATTGGACCATGAGTCCGGAATAAAGTTTATCTATCTATCTATCTATCTATCTATCTATCTATCTATCTATCTATCTATCTATCTATCTATCTATCTATCTATCTATCTATCTA